CCCAGCAACCCCTTCTGCTGGCAACTGGGGGGTTGGGCAGCCACCCCAAGTTGACCGTCATCTCGTTGGGGGTAAGTACGTGTGACCGATTACATTTGTGGATTTGCCAAACATTAGTACAACCTCAAAATGGTGGTTGTCCAAAATGGGCTACTGTAATTACAACATGGTACAACTGTACAACCATGTATAACCCCAAAGGGCCCAAAGATCTCTTGACAAGCTTGAGGATAATTTGTACAAACTTCCATCCGTTAAGTATTTCCCACAGCGGAGTTTCGTTCAGTTGATCTTAGCGTGGTTGTCTGCGGATGTCTGCGGAAAGGGAAATGGCGACGGACCATGGGATTTTGGGTATTCCCTACTTTTGGACTGTGCCGACACACCCACAGTACCAACATGAAGACTCATCCCACAACATAAAAATCAGTGTTACACCACGAGAAATCACTATTATATACTATTATCAGATTCCTCGATTGTCACAAAGTATCATCGTGTGTACATGCAAAAAAATGCAAGTATGACGACCTAAACTCCAGTTTTTGGCGAACCCGTGCTTGACTTGGGGCTTCATCCCACTTAGTAATTGGATTAGCTCACCCCAAATATCAGGGATGGTCGAGTTATAACTGGGGTGAACTGAGCCACTTATGAGTCCTGGGGTGAACCATTTTTGTTGGAATATATATATATATATGTATATATATCATTATATATCAATGTATATATATATAACACCCCAAGAAAACAAGTCACCCCGTTGTGACCCCAGTTCAACTAGGTAACTAGGCATCAATCATTCAACTTGACTAAAAATGATCCCGCTATCTCATTATATCATATTATATCCCCATTTTCAATATCACTGTCAGACTATCACCATATTTGATGGTGAGCAAATGGAGGTTTCCAATCCATGGGGTACCCCCTTAGTCGTCATGGATGACCATGACTTAGTATTTTTTTAAACAACCAAACAGTGACGACTGGGGATCTCTCATGACTTAAGAACACCCCATATATACTCATTGTCTGGAGTATCTCAGTACATGGATTGTCTCACTATATCATATCTATATATTATATAATCCCAACCCCACAAATACCTCAAGTCCACACAATCCTGCTCTGATGTGCCTCCCACTTCGTAAGTGGTTGATGTTCCGTATATATATATATAACCCATATTTCATCCTATATCTAAGTGGGGATATTCCATTGATCTACCTGGTTTTTTTAAAACCCATTTACCAAGTGGGACCCGCATCCTCCAGTCATATATCACTAACCCTTATTCATGTTTGCCGTTTGACCATTTGTTTGTTCATATTCTATCATATTCTATCATTATTAACCATGGTTAGTGAATCCCACATCAATAACCCTGGCTGGTAAGTCCCATAGTTTACCTGGAGGTTTCCTGAAATGGGGGTAGCCCATAAAAAGATGGTTTATTCCATGGAAAAGACGAAAATAAAACGGATCCTTTGGGGGTACATCCTATTTTAGGAAACCTCCATATACCATTAACACACACGTATGTATATATATATATATAATATTATATATGCATAGATCATCATATAAAACCATAACAACTTCATCAAAATCATCTATATCATGGGTAAATTATCATATTTCACTAACCTGAATAGTTCGGCCATTTATAAAAGGGGATGATTTCCCTAAAACAAATAAACCATGATGAACCCTTACCCAGATCTATATCATGGGGGCACTTCCGCACTTCCAGTGGTGGCGCCTTCAGTACAACTCGTCGCAGCACTGCCAGCGGCCAACGCCAGCACTCGCAGCGCCGTGCTAAGCGCGCTGGCGCCGGGCTCGGCGCCGAGGGCTCTGGATCTGGAAGATCTGTGGTGTGGCCTGGGATAGTCGACGCCGGCCGAGACGTAAAAAGAAAACCTGGGGTGAACTCAAAAAAAAAGGGTGGTTAAATGGTGGTTAAATGGTTGTTTCATGGGACTTCATGGGATCTATAGCAATATCTATAGCAAATATCTATGAAAAACAGGATGGGGCCCCCAGTCGATAGCGTTTAGGTGCCTTACAAGTGGCTGAATTCTATGGTGAATGGTAGATACAATGAACTAGTTAATGGGGTCTATAAACCAACTTATAACTGGGGGGCACCATCCTGTACTAATTAGTTAGAGTTATGAAGTGGGATGATAATTATGATAACTAGATTATAGGAGCAACTATGATTACTACTATAATTGTATTACCCTCTGGATCCCTCTGGTAAGTTGACATAGACACGGAGAATTCCCCTGTAGATGATTTACCAATTAAGCATTGCCACTAACCATGGCCCCGCCAAGGTTCACACCAGATGAAGATGATGAGTGCACCTCAGCCTCGACCTTAGAGCTGGGAAGAACCACCGGAACGACTCGGGGGTTCACCCCAATTGCTGGGACCAGCTTCTTGTTCCCAAGAATTTCTTGATTTTTCTCTTGTCATTTTTGTTGAGTCA